ACAATCTAGACACCACTGGATGGCCTCACGGAGCACTAGAAGTTCAACTGTAAGCGGGTTATCAATATTCTCAATATGAATTCCCCGAGCCAAGACAATTAAACCTAAGTATTCCCACTGTCGAGCGCGAGCCAATCCTTGTTGCACCATTCCACATCCAGGTGGCCAACACTAGAGTTGAAGCATTCACTATTGCAGTAGGGGGAGTGGGGAATGAAGGCACTCTGTCTGTTAGTAAACACATCCATTTCTGGACTTGTTGGTGATACTGCTGCATCAAAGATAAAACACAGAATTGTTTTCATTCAAAGACAACCCGATTCCTAGATTTCCAAATCCGTCATAGGGTCGCAACAACAACCATACTCTGATGGGGCTGACTAAGCAGTAACATCAACTTCTTAAGAAAGAGGGGGAAGTTTTGGCAAGGCAACCCTTGGCCTATAGATTCTAGGCCAGCATGATCTCATATTGTCCTTGCCATCGGGCACTAAAAAATGATGCTCCATCCATTGTCTCTGCACAGCCCAACAAATCGGGCATCGGGGAACACTTGAACCTCTCTCTCAATCAACGGCTTCCATGATTGAGAGAATGCAAACAAGAAAATAAAACATATTACATGTAAAAGCAAAATGATAATATTATATTATACCATAAAAATTTATGTTAGAATAACACCAAGCAAACGTCCCAGTTAAGTACCACAGGATAAATTAAAAATTATAAAAATGAAAAACTAGCTACATTAATAATATTGATAGTGGGAATTTCTTACTTCGCTTCACTCTCTTGTGTTTTTCCCAATGTTATAAGAACTAGACCTGATCAATAGTTGAAGTAGTAGAACCACTAAATCACGTATAATAGTAGTTCAGTTTATTTGATTAGACCGTTAAAAAGGAACCAAATTGTTTGACATGAAACTATATGAATCACTTTGATTTAAATGGTCCATTGCTTCACTATTTTAATCACAAAAAATTAAAAATAAAACTTTAACGTAAACTAATACTATCCCGCCTCAATCACAAATTTTTTTATGCTTCCTTTGTTTTATTTTTCATCCTCCTTGTCGAATTTATCTGGTTCAATACATATTGCCGCTCTTAATATTGATTTGAATTTAATAAAGTAATTATGATTTTTTTCGTGTGATAATTTGAATGTTTTGTTATAACTTTTTGGTGACAGATGATATGGATTTGGATTTTCTTTATGATTAGTGATAAATGCACTTCTAAATTAGTGTATTGTATATCTTTTATATTATAGTTTATGAATAGTTCTATAACAATTAACAGTTAAATTATCAATTACTAACTTTCCCGGTGCTGGTCCAAAACATTGATTTTCCCTTTATCACCATAATCTCTTCCACCACGATCCATGCACACCTGAGATCCGATCACAATTCCTCTTCCACGATGATCGTCGCTGCTCCTCATCAGATACCCCGACTACTCTTCCACCACAATCACATCCCGCCGAGAACTCTTCATCCACCACCACGATATCATCCCTCGGAATATATTACGTTTACTGTAGCTCGCTGGCTCCTTCTCCATTTATGATTTTTCTCTATCTCCAACTATTAACTGTGGAAGGTATTGCATGGAGCTTCGTCTGTAATGTTCGACTTCGTTCAATAAAATTATCTAATTATCATGCATATCGGTTTTTTGCCGCTCAGTAATCAACTTAAACTCAATGAAAGAATTGTTAGGATTGGAGAAGTGTTGATGCTAATTTTAGGAGTAGGCTTCCAGTGAGCTATGATCTAATCAACTTAAACTCAATGAAAGAATTGTTAGTGAATGATATATGATTCACGATTGAACCTCTCCCAACAATTCGAGTTATTGGGACCAACTGGTTATTGACATGGTATAAGAGCCTTATGTGACCGAGAGGTCTTGTGTTTGAATCCCGGTGATCCCATTTGTGAAGCACATGACATCGTGCATTCAGATCTGTTGAGGTGGTTGTTGACAAGAATATGCTAATTTGAACACACATATTAAACATTTCCTGCTCATATTGTAGACATCATCCTTGTGGCAAGCTGATGTCACAAATATTTTAGAAGAGTAATTAGAAATGATTAGGAAAACAACAAAAAACAATTAATAGTGGCGCCAAAATGTGTGGATGACTGGATGATGATGATGAGAAAATTCCAAAGAAGAACAGCTAGCTAATTAGTTCAGCTTATCGGTGGATGGATGGATCGAGAAAAAGGGCGGTAGTACGTTACGTAGGTGCGGCCAAAATTTGCATGCCCTCCTCAACAGGTAACCCTAACCTCAAACCACAGCCTCACGTACTAGCTTCTCATTAGACTCAACGACCGTTACCGTGCAAGCATCATCGTCACACACACTGCCTCCTTTTGCTTTCTTTCATTGTCATTATCTCTCATCATCGTTATAGATTTGATCCAGCAGCAACAGCAAGCATATTATTATACCATTGGACTATACTTCCAACACACATTTATAGAAAAGAAGAAAAAAAAGATAAGTCCTGGCTGCTTCCTCCGGCAGGCACCATCAATTCCCCGCCCGGCTGCAAATCTTAATCAGCTGTATTTATTAAAAACCACCCGACTCCTTCATTCAATAGCAAAAGTACCCTCCCTTACTTATCTTGTCCATATATTGCAGATCGAGAGAGCCAAAATTGACAAGCTAAGAAATGTAAGCCTTGAAGAAATTTCCCCTTTCCTTCCCACAACTCCTAACATCCTAAAACAGAGCTACCAAGAGATGGTTAAGATCGATCGATCGAGCAGGCAAAAGAATCAGATATCATCATTGTGCTACTACTGGACTGTACGTGGTTGAGTACTGGACACGTGTACGGCGATCGACTTAAGCCGGACATGTACGTGAACGTCATATAAACAAGTTGAGTTATTTAGATGTTGTAGCCTACTACGTAACGTACTGTCGGCGTAGGACCTGCACGGATTTCCAACATATACCAATCGCCGGCCAGTTCGGAACGCGGACACGTGTACGGCCGATTGAATAACTATAAATATACACATCCATCATGAACGCGATTGATGCTTACTGTTCTAATTAACTACAACCACAAAGAATAATAATCATGGACTGGGAATTATTATATGAGCGATACAAAAATATATGGATATATACCTTATTATCACCCGAATTATTCCCAAATAATTAAGTTTGACGTGGTTTTAGAAATTATCTTGACCGAAATAATCAAAAGTATGTGCAGTTCAGTTTTTATCTTAAAGAATTTTCCATGAATATGTACCGGTGCAAACTGATTTCGACCATAACGTTGAAAGTACATGTTCAATTTGTAGTATAAAAGGTTTCATTAACGAAAACACCGATGCTTATAAGTATAGTAGCCAGGGACAGAGCTAGAGGCGAACAAGGAGGTTCGATGGCACCCCCTTGGATTTTGGAGGAAAGCCAATAAATCAATAATATTAGTATGTTGATGATGATATTTAATTCCTTAATTTCAATATCAATCATCAAATATGTTATCAATTAACCACAACAAACTATATAAATTAATTTCGTCTACTAATATCTACATTTCTAGTTTATCAAGATGGATAATAAATGCAAAGGATATCATTAAATTCTTATGATAACGGTATATAGTCAAAAAGAGAAAATTAGTTCTCATCAATGTATTTGCTTGTGAAAAATGATTTCATTTGCTACTGCCAATTGTCAATGCACAAGTTAATAATATTTATGCAGTGAAACGATTGAATAGCCTTTTTGCATCAAGTGAATTGAAATTGTGAATTATTATTTGGTGAGAAAAATCTAGATGTTTGGCCGATTCATTTAGTTTAGAATAATTTCACAATATGATATATGAAACTATATATATATATATATATATATATATATATATATATATTAGCACTCACTGAATAAAATCCTGGCTACGCCACTAATAATATATGAAATTCTATATATAAATTTTTTATGGCACCCCCTTGAATAAAATCCTGGCTACGCCACTGATAATAGTGGTGCTCTTATTATGTCCATGTTACGTACCAGTCTAGTGTCATAGTGCCGTGGAAAAGTTTGTAATAGTGATCATAAGAATATTGCTTATGTAACCATAATTTGAAATCATAAATCCAACCAGAGTTTAGAGTGCTAAGACCCAATTTGTTAGCATGATGCTAACACTAGGTCTAGCTAATAGGAACATTTTTTATGACTTTTTTTAATATTTATGAGGTTGACCACAATTAATGCATGTTTGTAAAGATATGAACATGCTTGTCATTATTAGAAAATAAATGAACACACCCATATGGTGCTGTTCATTGATTATGTTCTGCCGCCTTACCACAAGTATCACGAAGCAGACTGCAAAACATAGACCAGAAACAAAAAAAACCATAAGTAACATAAAGCAAACCATATACCTTACAAAGCATACTAGAACCTCACCGCGCCGCCAAATTCATAAAACATATAACAAAAACTCATAGCAGACCATACTCTCCTTAAAACATACAATAAATCTCATAAAACATACCGCAAGTACCCTGAAGCATACCAGATACTTTTTAAAATTGACCACAAGTTTCTTATAGCATACATGAATTCACATAAAACATACCACAAGATTCCTTAAGCATACAAGAAATCTCATAAAGCATATATACCACAAGTTTCTTAAAGTTGACCACATACAAGTTCACTGAAGCATACCATAAACCACATAAAGCAAACCATAAGTTTATCAAAGCAGAGCACAAATTTCTTAATGCAGACCAGAAACCTCATAAAGCAAATTACATGTTTCTGAAAGCATATTAGAAACCTCATAAAATTGGACTCACTTGTAAATTTATAACTGTTTAGGTGTAAGTCATATTTTGAAACTATAGAATACAGTTAGTGGTAGTTTTCGTGGGTGAATAACTCGTGCTGAACATATATATATATATACTAATTAAGCTGAACAACAAAGGGAAATCCCAACGAGAGCAACGACCAATCTACCTATCCAAAAAACCACTTTGCCAGTAAATGGCATTATTAATATTATACGTTGTGGCTGGGGAAAAGGTTCAGGGGTATTTTTGGTAACCCACAAAATAATTAGTGGAGTTCACTTGCCCCACTTAACATCCCACCTGGCCCTGCCTTGCCTTTATAAGAAGCAGTGCCGCCGTTGAGAGCAAGGTACCTGGACAAAGTTGCAGCATTTCACTCCAACACATCATTTCCTTTGTCATTCCTGATACCAGAAACCCAAGGTTTTTAATCGCGAAATCATTTCATGGAAAACAAATATATACATATATATTTTTTTTTATGTTTCGAGGTATTTTATTTTCTTGTATTTTTTTTTTACATATAGTGACCGAAAATGGAGAAGGCGACGAGCTTGTCGGGATTGGTGAGGACGAAATCGGACCAACTGGTGGAGACACTAGCGGCGGCGTTCAAGTCCCCGCCGCCGTCGGTGGCGGCGGGGTCAGGAGGGAGCGGTGAGGTGTCGGAGAGCGTAGGAGCGTCGAGGAGGTCGAGCCGGAGGATGACGGGGGCGTCGCCGGGAAGAAACGGCGGCAAGAACACGCACATCCGCAAGTCCCGGAGCGCGCAGATGAAGTTCGAAGTGGAGGAGATGATCAGCAGCGGAGCGGCGCTCAGCCGAGCTTCCAGCGCCAGCTTGGGGCTTTCCTTCTCCTTCACGGGCTTCAACATGCCCCCCGACGACATCATTGCCGATTCCAACCCCTTTAGCGACGACGACATACGTAAGTCCGCCTCCCGTTCTCTTTCTTATATTTTCCATATTACGTGTTTATCTCATTTTTAGCCACAACTATCCTGTTAAATAGGGACGAAACTAATATAATTATCCAACTGACCATACGAAAACCACAATATAGTTCATCATCGGGGAAAAAGGGAGCATGTTGTGAAGGTTTGTAAATGATAAAAAAATATGAATTTTTTTTTGGGGTAAAAAAGGGTGCAAAATTAATAGCATTATGATATGTAACCCAAATCAATCTTAACTTAATTAAAAGGTCTAAAAAAACCCAACAAATACCTTGCTTCTAATTATACCAAAGTTAGGCTACAAAATTATATAGACATCATAGTAAAAGATACAATTTTCAATTGTGTTTGATCGCCAAAACGGTTAATCACTGTACTTTTTACCGTTTCTTTTAACCACTTTTTAGTTTCTGGCGTGATGAATTATATGAAAAGGAAAAGTGAATAATAGTATTTTGGGGAGAAATGGAAATTGAGGAGGAGAGGAAATATGGGTGGTGGAGGTTGGATATGAGGTTTGGTTTGGCCGGAACCAAATTAAACCGAACTTTCTTCAATTCAATCAAACTGTACACGCACTATTGTGTTGTTGCATTCAACCAATCCCTCCTTTGTGTGAGATGGAAAGAGAGGGTTGGAGCTTAGCTTTTAATTTTGGGTGTCACGCGTAGACAGATAGATAGATACATTACAATTTACATGCCTTGCCCACCAACCTACGTACGTATAATAGAGTTTGAGGAGTTGTTACTCAGACATTATTATATATTGATGACCAAATAATTATTGAGTTCACGTTTGCCTTTTAGTTTGTTTTACCTTTACGAGTAGTGTGAAGCCACGACTCTCTCTTAGGATTGCGATGTGGGTCGGTGGCTGAGGTTGATTACATCCCATATACGTCTTCAGCTGTGGTAAGTAGAGGGTTTAGGGTTTTCAGGATTAAGGACAAAACTAATTAAGTACTACTCAAAACAATACAGACTAGAGAAAATTAAACTCTCCCTTGTTAGTTAGTAGAGATAGATCAATCCCTACCAATCCCCTCCTTGGCTTTATTTGATAGATTGAATTGAAGACAATTAGGGAAGATAAATATTAACAGTCTGTCAATTTTCTTTCCGTCATCACTCTCATTCGGGTTATATATAAATAAATGATTGATGTTTTTGGAAATTTAAGGCCTTTTTCTTGGGCCCCCAAATCATATGGACCAAGAAATTTTTGCTTTGGATCTCATACACATAAACACACGCTCCACAAAGTAAAGAAGGCTGGCAATGGCAACCAGCAAGCAACTTGCATGTCCATTCCCAGCCACCGCCACCTAGGGATGACAACCCGTTAGACAACTCCATAACGGGTATACTTATTGGTAACTAGATCTAATTATCATGACGAATGTGGATATTGGGTATTTGGGATGGATATTAATAGATTTATTATATGCCATTATAATAATTTTGAGCTTGCGTTGAGTTTAGATGGTTTTCAATTTGGGTGAACCCGTTTGTTTCCGATATAAATCACTAAAATAGGTTTATTTGGATTATATAAATATACATACGACAAAGGTAATATTGACTATTTTAATGCACGCATTCAACCCATTGACACATTCAATCTTGGGGTTTTCACATTTATGTTTATTTTAGAACAAAGAGAAAAGAAGAAGAAAAATATCACATTAGAGTTGGATAACCATGTTCTTTTGTGTATCCAACGTAATGATTCTAATTTATACCCAAATTAAAAAGTTGGGTATGTTCGTATGTGTATGCCCCGTATGTCATTTTAGTTTTACCAACAATAATTTGTGTTTGGACAATACTCAAATTGTGGGTCTTTTTTGCCATTCCTATCACCATCCAATGCTAACGAATTCCACCTACTATTCCACGCCAATCTGACTATGAGGTTTGCTAATAGCCTCTTGTACGATGCTTATAATGTTTATATATAGTCGTCCAACCAAACACTAGATGTCTTATAATTGTTGAATGAACGTGTGACATTTTATTGGGGAGGGACCAACTCCTGATCAAACCCATATGTGCATTGTAATTTGTAAGCACATCCTTACTTTATGAGCACCCTAGATTGATTCAAGCACATTTCGATTCTTGCTTCATTCTTTTTTCCCTGTCTTGCTAGTTTCTCACTTCACTTATAGAAGAATTGACCTACAATAATATGTTTATTCCCAAATCCTCTTACGTCCCCGTCCTGTCCTAGGCAACAATCGTCACCTAATTCTGTCTATTAACACAGAAATACAATTTCATTTGCATTTGCTCAATGCTTCACATGCTACCAAGTGGACTCACTTGGACCCATTGTTGTAAGTTGAAACTGTGGAAAAGGAAGACAGGGCAGAGTAGCAGACTAAACTGATGAAAACCAAAGTCAAACGAGTGGGACCAAACTGAAGACGAGGAAGAAAATGAATTATTGTTCTGATGGGGAGTTTTGGAAGAAGCTAGGGTCAAAATCCTTGACTCTGCAGACTTTCCCCATCACTTCACCTCACATTCGTCCCATTCCTGAAAAAAATATCCACTACTTCATGCCTTCAATGCTCTTACACTGAGTCTTCATTTTAGCCTGTCACCAGCGTCATGATCATCAGTTTCCCCATATCTGTTTGTTTCCTTGTACTGAAAACTCTGCCGCCGAAACTGACCTTCTGCCCAAATTGCAGTAGCTGCAACAGTGGGGGTTAACTGTTCTGTTGCCTAAAACAAATGATCATCATATGTACATGCATCTGGTGAATGTTTTGCGTAGCCATTATTAACCAAGTGAAAGCTATCAAATGGTTTGTGCAGCTGAAGATATCGAGGCTGGAACCGGAAAGCTCAAATTCCAGACAGAACCGACCTTGCCAATTTATCTCAAGGTCAGAATTCTGGAAAAAATCCCAAGTTACACATCTTTTTAAAAAAAAATCTCAAAATACACACGTTATGAAAATAATTCCCAATCTACGTTAGTTTGGGCCATCACCGCTGTCGACGAAGACAGTGATTGCATCACTGTTGTCGACGAAGACAGTGATTGCATCACCGCTTTCGACGAAGACAGTGATTGCATCACCGCTGTCGACGAAGACAGTGATTGCATCACTGCAGTACACGGCCGCGGTGAAGGCCTGACCTGCGTCGAAACTTGAAACAAACGTAACTTTGTGCTCGGTTATCCGATCGTAGCAAAATTTTTTTTGATTCCGCATAATTTTTCGAGATCTTGCAAGTCGCAAATGGCCATAGGAGGTTTGGTCCCGCCTTCGTCTCGAAAATATGTCGTTTGCTACCCCGAACGAGCCTTTTTTCGATTTCGTCAAACTTTGAATGACCATAACTTTGTGCTCCACAATCCGAAAATCATGAATTTTTTTTTGATTTCGCATAAATTTTTAAGGACTAAAATATTTAGTAGGAGAGAATTTTCAAAAAATGAATTATTTATGGATATAAGGGGTTTTGGGAATAACTTTACCTTCCTTTTCAGGAATCCAAGTACATTCCGAAAATATGTCTATGATAAAAATTGTAGTCCTTAAAATGTTATGCGAAATAAAAAAAAATCATGATTTTCGGATTGTGGAGCACAAAGTTATGGTCATTCAAAGTTTGACGAAATCGAAAAAAGGCTCGTTCGGGGTAGCAAACGACATATTTTCGAGACGAAGGCGGGACCAAACCGCCTATGGCCATTTGTGGCTTGCAAGATCTCGAAAAATTATGCGGAATAAAAAAAAATTGCTACGATCGGATAACCGAGCACAAAGTTACGTTTGTTTAAAGTTTCGATGCAGGTCAGGCCTTCACCGCGGCCGTGTACTGCAGTGATGCAATCACTGTCTTCGTCGACAGCGGTGATGCAATCACTGTCTTCGTCGACAACAGTGATGCAATCACTGTCTTCGTCGACAACAGTGATGCAATCACTGTCTTCGTCGACAGCGGTGATGGCTCAAACTAACGTAGATTGGGAATTATTTTCATAACGTGTGTATTTTGAGAATTTTTTTTAAAAACATGTGTAACTTGGGATTTTTTCCCAGAATTCTACTATCCTCTTCTGCCTTTTCTTCTTTGCTTTCAAGTTTCTGCTTCATTGCTTATGATTCCCATTTTCATATGCCCATTTTAGTACACTAAGTTTCCTGCATGATGGGGAATGCTGATTTGATAATTGATTAAACAACAGTTGTATTTTTGGACAGGCAAAAGTGGGGGAGTTTTATTATGTATTGGGAGAAACAGAGAATTTTCTTTCTACCCAATGCCAATTAAAATACCATTTCATGCTCAATTGCATTTCCTTCAGGTTCATATATCTCATTGTCTTGTCTTGTATAGACCAAGTCTTTCCCTCTCACTCTCGCTCTCTCATCATTCATTCATTCATCATTCTAATGTTCAAGACGACCCTTCTTTCCATTGAAGTTGTTCTGCAGCTTGATTATGGTGGGGGGTGGTTTGTAGAGAGTGAGAGACAGTTTCCCAAGTGTTTTTAGATCCCCTTTTTGAGTCCTTTTGAGTTCAGCTGCAGTCAAGGAAAGAAGGGTATGCACTGTCTTTCCCCCTTGCCATGTTCTTAAACCTTAATAAATAAAAGTATCTCCTAATAGTCTCCTGAATTGTGTGCAAGTAGAACTTGGGATCTTGACTTGCAATAATGGAAATGGTGATTATGCAGTTCAGTGATGTGACATACAAGGTGGTGATGAAAGGAATGACTTCAACCCAGGAGAAAGACATCTTGAACGGAATCACAGGCTGCGTCAACCCTGGTGAAGTTCTGGCTCTCATGGGGCCTTCAGGAAGTGGGAAAACCACACTTCTCAACCTGCTGGGTGGGCGGTTGAACCAGTCTAATAACCGGGGTGGGTCGGTCACTTACAATGACCAGCCTTACTCAAAGTCCCTCAAAAGCAGGTAGTTAAAACTTGAACAATGATCTCTCAAGTCTCAACGGAGACGGACTCAACCCATCCATCAGGATTCTGATAAACCATTTTCACTCGGTGTTTTTTCTTTCACAGGATAGGATTTGTGACTCAGGATGATGTCTTGTTCCCTCATTTAACCGTGAGAGAAACGCTGACATATGCTGCCCTTCTACGACTGCCGCGTTCACTGACTCGAGAAGAGAAGACAAAACGAGCAATCGATGTCATCCAAGAACTTGGCCTGGAGAGGTATTTTCTCATCACCAACCTTGCTTGGATCTTAGCAAAATTTAACCTTAGTGCTACAATCTACTGAAGAATTGGCTCAATTGAAAAGTTGTTGACTTTTTTTCCTCCCCAATTTTGACCACATACGATACGAGCAGATGCCAGGACACGATCATCGGCGGGTCGTTCGTCCGGGGAGTCTCCGGCGGGGAGAGGAAGCGAGTCTCGATCGGGAACGAGATCATCATCAACCCTTCGCTTCTCTTTCTCGACGAACCCACTTCAGGGTTGGACTCCACCACCGCGCTGAGGATCGTCCAGATGCTGCAGGAAATCGCAGAGGCCGGCAAAACGGTGGTCACCACAATTCACCAGCCCTCCAGCAGGCTGTTCCACAAGTTCGACAAGCTGGTGCTTTTGGGGAAAGGAAGCTTGCTCTACTTCGGGAAAGCGTCGGAAGTGATGGCGTATTTCTCGTCGATTGGGTGTAACCCTCTCCTCGCGATGAACCCTGCGGAGTTCCTTCTGGATCTCGCTAATGGCAACATAAACGATGTCTCGGTGCCTTCGGAATTGGAGGACAAAGTTCATGTGGGGATTGGTGAAGCTGAGACCAGAAATGGGAAGCCCACTCCTGCCATTGTTCACGAGGTAGCTAGGCATACGAAGTTGCAACCTTTCTATGGGAGGAGGCTCCATTGTAATGCTTTTGCTGAATTTCGACAATGAATTTTCTCTCTCTCTTATCAGTATCTGGTGGAGGCCTACGAGACACGAGTTGCCAAGAGGGAGAAGAAGAAGCTGTTAGCTCCAATACCTCTAGATGAAGAAGTGAAGTTGAAAGTCTCATCTCCAAAACGACTGTGGGGAGCAACCTGGTGGGAGCAGTACACTATACTGTTCTGCAGAGGGATCAAGGAGCGCCGCCATGACTACTTCAGCTGGTTAAGAATCACACAGGTGGTCTCCACGGCTGCCATATTGGGCTTGCTGTGGTGGCAGTCTGATACCAGCTCTCCTAAAGGGCTCCAGGATCAGGTAAAAAACAAAAAGGGTGAAAGCCTGGTCTCGTTTTTTTGAAAGTCAAAACACTCCAGAGGTGAAAAAGATCAAACCATTTTGTGGTATGGAATTGTTTTTTGCAGGCCGGGTTGTTGTTCTTCATCGCTGTGTTCTGGGGATTTTTCCCGGTTTTCACCGCCATCTTCACATTCCCTCAAGAACGTGCGGTGTTGAGTAAGGAGAGATCGGCGGATATGTACAGGTTGAGTGCATATTTCATGGCCAGAACTACAAGTGATCTTCCACTGGACCTGATTTTGCCAGTTCTGTTCCTTCTGGTGGTGTATTTCATGGCCGGGTTGAAAATGGGCCCTGCTCCCTTTTTCTTGACCATGATCACAGTGTTTCTCTGCATTGTTGCAGCTCAGGTTAGCCCAAATTGACATTGAAGAAGCCACCACGATCCCAATTCTAAGATATTTCGTTAACAATGATATTATTTTTGCTGCAAATTGCAGGGGCTTGGACTCGCCATTGGTGCAAGCTTGATGGACTTGAAGAAGGCTACTACTTTAGCTTCAGTTACTGTCATGACCTTCATGCTTGCTGGAGGCTTCTTTGTTAATGTAAGTACAAGATTCGACATCATCCATATTCTGCTATAGGGAATGATATCTTCTGTGTTTTCTTTCTTCTGGATGAACATATTTGATAAGGAATCTGGTTACATTGGAGCAATTCTTGAAAAGTTTTTCTAATCTATTCACTGATTTTTTTTTTTTTGCAGAGAATCCCGGTTTTCATATCTTGGATACGCTACATGTCATTCAACTATCACACCTACAAGCTGCTTTTGAAGGTACAGTACGAGCATAGAATGCCAGTTGTTGGTGGAACCAGAATCGACAGTGGTTTAGAGGAAGTGTGTGCTCTGGTTGCCATGGTATTTGGCTACCGCATTTTGGCCTATATTTCTCTGAGGATGATGAAGTTACAGTCTGGTGCCTGATAGATTATGACAAAGGATTGTTCACCAGGAACATGAGATGATCATCTAGCTAGCTCTAAGAGCTAGCTTGTGAAAACCTTGTGTTCCAAGCCGAAGAGAAAGGGGAAAGTGAAGCTATAGCCTAAACTAGCAGATTTTCCACCTCTACCAGGTACCTGGTTCCTGTCAGGCTAAGACCTGCTCTGAAAAGATGGGTCTTTCCTCCTGGCATTAGGAAGCATGAAGATGAGCTTTTAGAAGTACTGACCGGGAACTCAAGTTCTTGTGCTAGAGTTTGACAATATGCAGTATTGCTAAACATTAATCCAGCACTGAAATTTCGACAATAAGACTTGGAGGATGGGAAGAAACTCTTGAGTGTGATATGGTATAATTAGCAGACTAGGTGCAAGTTTGGAATTTTGTAACACAAACTCGAGCCATAAGATGCATGTACAATTTTCGTTTGACATGAGACTTGGAAATCAGAAGCTTGATTACCAAGTTACTACCATGTTTCTATCTTTTGTCTTTTGATCATAATGTTTACCGCTTTGGAATTTGAAATATATGCCTCTCTATTCTCTGGCAAAACTGTTGTCCCAAAAGTTAAGAATGCTCAAGTCAGTGTCAACGAACCCGTAGACCAAGCAATGCAACATCCAAAACAGGGGACTTCTTTTCAAGACCTGCAGTGCAAATTGCATATGAAATGGAACAAAATTTGCATTAAAGAACATTAATTAATTAAAAGTATAATAGCTCAAAACAACAGTTACTGTACATCTAGACTGCTTTTCCTGTTCATTGTGACTCAAAATTACTATTCATCGAGTTCTTATTGGCTGTTGCTTTGATGTGGATCCAGATTTCCTTTCCTCTCCCTTTGAACTATCGTCGAGACTGTGGGTTGGGTCTGACATGAAACACTCTGCGAGGAAAATCGCGTTGGTCACAAATCGACGGCATAGACCCGGTAAGGCCAAGAAGCACTCTTGGAATGCTGATGGGATGTATCTGCCAGCTTTCTTTCGGTTTCGTTTGGTTACTTTGGATTGGGGCTCAGGCCCCTCTCTCTCTCTAACTTTAATTCAAAAAAATTGCTCTCATCCCTCTCTTCCTTTCCTCTCGCTTCTGAAGCTCCCCAGGGCTGCCGCCGGCATCTCTTGGTGACCGGCGGTAGCCCACCCCCTTTTTCTTTCTTCCTGCTACCTCCCTTTAATTCCCTGTCTTTGTTTTTGATGTTTTCACTCTGCTTTCAAGCTTTTCAAGCCATTCTTGGCATTTCGCTCCCCTGTTCTAGGGTTTTTTGCTGGGATTTGCTCTCCTTTGGGGCTGGGTTTTGCATCTTGGGGCTTCTCTCATGATGGTTGGTTTAACATCTTTTGTGGTGAATCGATTCTCTGGTTTTCCCCTTCGTTCTTCCCAGGTAGTTGTTCTGCATCTAGGTGGCCGACGGAGGATGGATTGCAGAGTCTAGCCTTGCTGCTCGTGGGTTCAGTTCTTTGATCGGGGATCTGGGTTCTTCTGCTTCCCTTGTCAAAGTCTTGGAGCCTCGTCTTCCCCTGCCTTTTCAGCTCGGAGCATTTCGATCCTCATCTCTGTCCACCGCCATGTAATCTCTCACCCGTGATTCACTGTGTTGAGCGTCTTCGAGCGACTCCCAAGAGGCGGCTAATGACATTGTGATCAATCGTCATGGACTCGGTCGGATCGGACGAGCTGTTTGCGCTTGGTACTACTTCGTTTGTTTTGATTGCAAGAGAGCTTTCGGTGTATACTGATTTTGGTTCAAGTGTTTCAGATCCTTTGTTGGATGACTCTTTCTCGTTTGTGTGCTCTTCTTGTTGTATCTCTGAAGCTTTGATTGAGCATCTATGTGCTTTTGTTTCTCTGTCCTTGTTCTATTTTTAGTTTGCTTTGTGGGTTCTCTTGTAATCGATCATTCAAAGTGCAATGCAAGTATCCTTTGTAAAAAAAAAAAGATTGGGGCTCAATTATCTATGCGTTAAAAGTTGGAACCCAACCATATTTCCTTGCAGAGAGAGCATGGAGTGTGTCAGTGGGTGGAGGTATCAGGGAAGGCTAAAAATCACAACAACTCTTTTTCTCCACCACATATTCTACTTACCCCTCATTTCCTCTCACTTTTTCTTTTGCCCATCCCGTTTCTTTTCGCTCTTTCCGGTATCTCTCACCCATCTCACTTTCAGATTCTTCCCTGCTATCAACGGGATCATAGAGGAAATCGTCAAGTTCGGTCAGAACTCTCCAGTAGGCGAGAGTTGAAGGGCGTGGTATCTTGTCGTTAACTACGTCTATGGTGAGAAACTGAAAAGCGGATTCAAGTGGATGGTTGTATGCAGATCAAAAGGGGATTCCAGGAGTTTGCAACTCCAGCGTTGATGCTACGACCACCGTACGGTAGATGAGGTAAGCAACAGTTGCTTCTTTACTCCGGTGGATACAGCTCTGGGTGCTGTCAAATAATATGTGAGTTTTTGCTTTTAAGATTTGTTCCCTCTCTTATGATGTCCTTTGTTTCTCTTCCTTTAATCTCTCGGTTTGGTGTTTTATTTGCGGTCTCCTTTACCACCTTCCAGAAGGTGGTACTGGGATCACGATGACTGAATAATAGGGGTCGATTGTAGATTTGAAGGTAGGGAAGATAGTTGTTGTCTGATTGTTTACTTAAGTCTTTTGGTAACTCCATGGTATAATGATTCTTCTCTGCTTTTTTTTTTGTTATTATTAATTGTGGTGGTGGGCTCTTCTTAATCACTTGATTCGTGCTTTGGTGTATAAAATAAGAGAAACAATCTAATTTCTAAGGGGTTTGTGAACTACGTCCAATTTTCTCACCCACTTGAGTCCTGGACATCACTAGACGTTTATAGTCCTTCTGCATAATGACAGATCTCTGGCCATCGACTAGAAGTTTTGGGTAATATATTTCCTTTTAAATAAATCAATCATATTCTTATGGATAGTGGTAACTGTTAGAGAGTACTAGATATGCCTGATAGTTACTCAATGCTTAGCATTGTTCTTGAACTGAGATGTACTTCCCCATTGATTTCAGTTGTGGTTATTAAGCCACTAGTGAGTGGATTGATTTGGCAAGTGAATGGTGATGATCTGTTGTCACTGTCTATGGTAAATCTTCAAGCTATATCTTGCATTTCTACGTTTTCATTTTTGGAAAGTAAGAATTGATGTTCTTCACTTTTGTCAAGTACTCTTTTTGTTTAGTTTTGACTCTGAATCTTAATCATATATATAACTCTGTTTCTAGCTTTTGTTTCCTTCTCTCACGTTATCTGCAACTAATGTATGCAGATGGATTTTGTTTATGAAGGAGCTTTTGTTTTGTAATAATCTATATTGAATCCCCTAACTAGAAAATGCCTGCATTGGTTTGAGTATTTTTTTGGTAAAGGAGACTTACTATGTCGAGAAACTGTGCTGATTATTGATGAATCGTAGGTTGTTTTGCTTGTAACTCACAAGCGAGAGCATGACGTAAGTGCCGAAAACCTATTTTGTTTATTGATTGATTACTGGAACTAATGCCGAACTTACATATTTATATAAGAAATAAACCTAATACGTAAACCTAATACTAGCCGAACTCCTACTCCTACTCGACTACCCCTCTCCTTGCCACACAAGAAACTCAAACACACAAGAAACCCAACACGATCCTCTACCCCTAAAGCCCAACCCATAAATATACTCATCAATTATCTCCCATTGTGATTGTAATTGCTTGTTGAGCTAGCTGTAACTATTTTGCAGTATTCAGTTCGCTTGCTAAGCTGCATCGTTACCTTGAGAACCGTGGACAAATTATGATGTTGGGTTATTTCTTACAGATTTAGTGGTGTTGATTTAAACATGTTGATTAATTAGCAAACTGAAAACATGTAAACCTATTCTACTAATTATGCTTCTGGGTTATTTCTTGGCGATTCCTTAACTTTCAATGTGTTTGTGTGCTGCTCTTACCTGGAGAATAAAATGAAAAAATTTATTTTTGTTTTGGAGACTAAGTATTGAAGTGCTATCAATTATTTAGTTTATTGTTATTCTTATAGGATGAACTCAAACAAAAGAACTCAAATTTTACCCATATTCCGACGCGGAGCACGGGTAATAAAACTAGTACTTTTATAATTATTGATCTCATAGATGGGAAAAAGCAACACCATTGAAACATGAATAGAAGAACCAGCGTAATTTTGCTTTATTTCATAACTAGCTTAAACCCGGCTCGTTTGCCAGAATGTTGGCAAATATTTTAATAAAATATCTAATTCGAATTCTTTGTGAACAGATTGTGTATTTATATGTATCTTATAGGAAGTCCTATTTGGGCAGTGTCTTTACCTATTGAAGAGCTTTACATAATCCTTCTCGGCCGTAGGGTTTACCGAAGATGAAACTGTTAAATAACATGTATGGAAAAAGGCATGTACAAATTGCAAATTGTAATGATCTAAAAGAGTTTCTTTGGAACCAAACTAAAGGAGAATATAATATTGAAAGAAACCAATTTCGTCATGAAAGTACCACCTTTAACTTGCACAAATATCACAAATCGATTGTCATATCATAAATCTATATTTTATAATAACTCAAACACCCACGAATTCAAAGTAGATACTAAAAGAAAGGATACCAGTTAGATGCAATAAAATTGAAACATACATATTATCAACGTGAAACAAATATTCAAATTTGGGAATAAAAGTTTCGCACAGTCAACATCATCCCACAGTGGACATAAAAAGGATGGTTCTAATTGAATATAAACAAAACTGTCAAACATTAAAAAGTAGGATAGCTACTAAACATGGGATGTTATTACTGAACTAAATCACCAAACATCTTTCTTAGCCTTTGCTGAGGAAGAAAGATGCATAAACAATCTAATAAATTCCATATTTTAAACAAATACAAAATATATCAAACAACTAAACTAAAACAATCTTCCCAAATAAACACTAAGGGGTCGTTTGGAAGTTGCGATAGTTTTGTTGAGATTGTCATTATGCATGTATTGTTTACAATGCATCGTTTTTTTTTTGTTTTTTTAGCAGAAACAATACATGGATTGTTTCTGTGATGTGACAGAAACTATCACTCATTTTGAGTGATTGTTATATCTCAACTTTTAGTTGTGATTGTTGAGATAGTTGAGTTGAGATTTTTTTGTCTCAGCTTTTAGCTGATGCGACATACACAATCACACAACCAAACGTTGTATTCTACAATGCATCAAATTCGACAATACATGTATAATATTATACATACATTCTCAACAATACATCTATTTAACAATCGCAACTTCCAAACGACCCCTAAATGAATAAAAAGGTCACTGCTACTTTCATTCAGAAAGCAAAGTAGAAAGAAATACGATTTCGTGACAGGGGAAACAAACCCCCAAACCAAATTCGGTACTAAAGGAAGAAATGCATTGTAAAAAAATCCCAAAGGAACAAACCAGAAGAATAATCCCTTAATTTAAAAAACCGGACCACATTCCACCAATGTATCAGACTCCATCTCACGTAAGAGATTAAAGCACTTTATTTTGAATAGTCGTATGTGGGAACGACATCATCAATCATTCTTTTCAAGGAACTTGGGGTTTCAGGACTTGGCAATTTCTTTTGAAAAGCACCCAGGCGTCCTCCCTTCTTCTCAGCAACATGTGGTGATTGGCTGGAGGAAGCAGTGGTAGTCATGGATTGGCAAGAAGAGTGCGGAGTGTCGATTCCAATCTCCAGATAATGAAGAAAGTGTTTCAAAAACTTATAAAAATTTATTGACAAAAGCATAGACTTTAATTCAAATAAAACATGCAAATATAACGCTTGGTAAAAATACCTTCTCACTGTCCCTAACGTGCTCCGGGCATTCCATTGCACCAATAGTTTCTAGGTCAATTTCTTCAACAATTGGCACACTGAGGTTGCTTGAAGGATGAGAGTACTCATAATCAGAAATCTTGATCAACGGCTCCAATCCTTTACCTTGCTCAACCAACAGTGGGCAGGAAGATTGGTAGTGGTTGTAGCTTTACTCATGGAAAACAGATCCTCAACATCAACATTGAAAATTTTCGTTGCCGTATAGTCCAGCAACACTAGCTCTGTTGCATCAGTGTAATCACTGACAGTGATGACAACACAGTACCTATTCATATTTGAGGAAACAAACATTAATTTAATCTACTCAACAACTAATTCAAGAACATCTTGGTTGATTTGCCAATCTTTGCCAGTAAATGTATAAGAAAGGTTGAGTATACAATCCATTATCATCAATGATTGAAAACATATAACTGAAACACTTTCAACCATAATATACACTACTACTTATGCGATTGTCAAACATATAACAACACAGGATGTCTATGAGGTGGATTGAAGTCAAAATGTTAGGAGTACTAAAATACATACAACAAATTCATCTACATAAGAACATGACTGAACGGGGAATGTAATTTATACACTTATGATCTATGTAATTGGATAGAAATAAAGTAAAATATAGGACTAACAAAACTTAGGACATTACTAAATAGTCATAATGGATACCTTTTCATAGGTTTAGTTGTAGTGCGGTTACATTTGCTGCAATAGTAAACACACCCGTTATCTTCAACCAAACGGTGACATGATGTGGTTGCACAACCATTATACGACCAGTTCTCATGCACTTTATCAACAACACAATGGAGTTTGCCAGTTTTATGGAAACTGTAATAATGGAAATCGACGATTACTCTTAGAACAACTAAATCAGACTGAAAGTGGATCATAGAAGTCATTTGCAAAAATTAACATCTATAAATGAGTGCCCTATAAATTCTCAATGTAATAATAGTTGAAATGCTATTACTATATACTATTACAAAGAAATGAAAGTAATAGTTCAAACACACAATTCGTATATGTTCAAATTAAAGTTGTAAGGAGTTGTACTATTGAAAAATTTACTGTAAAATTAATTTAGGCACTGTCGTCAAATGACATTTTATTAACAGAACTTCATAGAGGGTTGTAGGTCAAAATATTGGAGACATCTTGATCTGGTGTGAGTCCGTGTACATGAATCCACTAACCAAACGATCAACTTGAGCTTATAATAAAAGACACAAATGAGTCTATGTACCACGTAAACCAATAATACTCATTCGAGCTTCATTGATATTGTGTTTCAAAGCCCATATGTAAGCTCAAGTTGATCGTTTGGCCGACACCTCATTTTATGTGGTACCACGTAAATATGCATAGTTGTCGGGCTTCATTGACACGAATCCACTACCTTGATTCGTGTCAATGAAGACAAGCCCAATTCCCAATCGACATTCCCAATTTACGTGGTACATACCTCAAATCCAACAATGTCAAAATCCTTACAAAAGTACAACAAATACAACAACTATGCATATTTATAAATCGTGGCACGCATATGGAAAATAATTAACATTTTGAGTTAACACCATCTACTAGGGTTGGAAAACAGTGCAGTCTGGTCCAGACCATATACACGGTCTGCGATCCAGACAGGGAGGGAAGAACAGAGACCATGGACCAGACCATAAAGTATATGGTCCAGGCCAGACCATGGCTATAAGGCGCGGTCGGGTACGGTCTGGACCGTGTAGAATATGTTCAACAAAGGGGAAGCTAATTAATTATTACCATCAAAATATCGAACAAACAAAGGGGAGGCTGATCGCGATAGGAGGATCCTGGGTTGCAGGGGCCAGTCAGCAATGGCGGAGGTCGATGGCAGGCATGCGGAGGTCGCGGTCAGTGCCGGAGGTTGGCGGTGGTGGAGGTCGATGTCGGACGTTGATTGCAATAGGGAAACTTGAGAACAATGGCGGAGGTCGATGGAGATGTTGGGGTTCGATGGCGGAAGTTGTGCAACAAAGCTGTTGGATAGTCGGTGGCAGATCAGATGACGGACACTCAGACAGACGAACGGGGAAAGTGAGGCTAGGGCGACGGCGCAGGCGCTAGGTTTTCTTCTCGACTCTCGGGTCTACCTTGCAAAGTCTAAGTCGATTGGGGATGTTGGTCAACGTGATGGGAAAGCTGCAGCTATGGGGAGCTAGGGATGCGAGTAGTGAGACGATGGAATTGGACTTGGCCCTATGGGATGCCGAGTTGGGCTTAGACCCTACTTAAATTTGGACACGGTCTGGACGGTTAACCATGGTCTAGACCATACCAAATCGTTCCAGATCGCAAGTGAAAGAGGCAAACCATGGACCAGACCAAATTGTATTTATGGTCTCACTATCCGAACCAAACCTTACGGTACGGTCTAAACCGTGATTTTGTCATACGGTTTGGTCTAGATTCCCAGCCCTACAATCTATCTAAGAGGCTGAAGACAAAGCTATAAATGTGGGTGTAAGAAAACATGAGTTTGAAGAGTCATATTGACCCCTTCATACATGCAACGTTGAAACAGAGTATTTCATCCGAAAATATCTAAAATATTAAAACATTTGCTAATAAACATATGATATCATGATAAGAAATGGTCAAAATAAAAATTCAAGTGATTATCCCTAAGTAAGAAACAAAGTACTCATAATGAGAAAACAAAGCTTAAATAAAACTTCAATTATTATCATATAAATAAACAACTATGAACCATATATTGAAGTTCCCAATAGTAAAATATATCCATGAACAAACAATCCTATATCATAAATGAC